TTTGCTCACATGCCGCGCTTGTATGTAGACATGGAAATGTGTACATGCAACAATCAATATGATTCGTCACTAAAAAAAAAATGGTCACGTGACAGGGACATGGCTTGATTCGGTCAGGGTTGATGATCCTCGGAGCAGGACGTGGAGTCCGCGAGACAACAATCACGTGAATGTGTGAGGAGTAGGACGTGACACAGCATTGTCTCGCGGACGTGGAACAATAATGTGTGAGGAGTAGGACGTGACACATTGTCTCGCGCACTCCACGTCCTGCTCCGAGGATCATCAACCCTGACCGAATCAAGCCACCTCCCCGCTATTTTTGTGCCGAGACTTCGCACGATTGTCTCGCAGACTCCACGTCCTGCTTCGAGGATCATCAATCCTGACCGAATCAAGCCACCTCCCATGGAGTCCGCGAGACAATGTGGTTGGACCACATTGTCCCTTCGGACCACATTGTCTCGCGGACACCACGTCCTGCTCCGAGGATCATCAACCCTGTCCGGATCAAGCCACCTCCCATGCGCTCTGATCGTGCCACAATCGCACACGGCAGCAGCTCTCGTCAGCAAACACCGTCGAGGTCGAATGACGCTGGCTTACAGGTCGATGGCTCTCACCAACGCCACGACCAGTCCTCACCTTATGAGGATCACGTCGGCCGCGCTGCGCACTTCGGGCCTATGTCACGCAGTCCCCCACCGGTGGGTTCATCTCGCGCTGAATTGACTGCATCATCGTCTGCAGCGGGTGGTCCTGCGCGCAACGGCGGCAGCCAAGCGGGCGTCGAAGGCGCTCATTATGACGGGCCATATGGGCCGAACTCAAGCCAAAACTTTGCGTCCATGCACTCTTTCTCACCGCCGCCACCGCTCGGCATGGCTGCTTTCTTTGCGGCGCAGGCTGCCGAGAGCCCTGAGGGTGCAAATCGCGCGCCGGCTGCTGAATTGCAGCCAGTAGAAGCTGCTGGTCCGGTGATCCCTCGGGTCACGGTTCCCCTCCGCGGCCGCGCCTTGGTGCCGCCGTCCACGCCAGTTGGCTCTCCCTCAACCCCAGAAAAGTCACCGGGCTTGGCTCACGGATTGGGGGTCACGCCCCCCATGACGCCGTCCCCGTCTCTGCAAAAGGGCAAGAGTCCAATGATGTTCATTCCAAACAGGCCCTCGAGGATTCCTGTCGCCGACCGAGAGGCAAGAGCTCGGGAGGGGCAGGAAAAACAAGCTGCGCACCGGGAAGACCTCCTGGCTGAAGCGCGACGACGCTGCGCGGCAACAGATGCGGCAAATGAGGCCGCGAGGGGCAAGCGACCATCCTCTGCGATGTCGCAAGCCAGCTCTGCTTCATCCACGAATGGTCGTCGGAGCGGCCCGGCGCTGTCCACAGCTGCATCCACAGAATCGGCGGATCCTGTGGTGAAGCAGTTTGATGCTCCGCCAACTATTCCTTCTGCTCGTGCGACGCGCTCTGCCGCCGCCGCCTCTTCCACCATGGCACATCCTGCTCACTGACGAAGCGCCTCGCATTCCAGCTGACGATCTTCCCAATCCAGCCAGCACTTCTGCCAGAGTTCCGCCGCGAACCCTGCGTTACGCTTTCAACGCCGGCAGCAACAGCTTCTCTTCCGAGCGCGACGGGAATTCGGCACGACTCGAGATCGCTGGGCATCTGCAAGAGAAGATCGGAGGTTGGCATGAGAAGCACGCACCAGTGATCTCCTTTCCCAAGATAGGAGTGCACCACGCCGACATCTGGTTCCCGACCTCAGAACTCTTCCCACGCGCCGTCGACGCTCCGCCGCCAACATTCCGCGGACTCTCTCTCGTACCTCGCTTTCGCGGCTCCGACTTGCCGAACGGTCTCTTTGTCATCAAAGTCCTCGACCTTCCGCCTCGCGAGGACCTTCGAACTCTCTTTCTGGCCTTTCGGGCGCACGTCGAAAGGGTCGTCGCGATTCTTGACGCGTGGGCAACGACCACGGCCATCCCTGCTTTGCGGATGCCAGCAACCTTTTCAGGCGGTATCCTTCTCTTAGTCGAAAGCAGATTGTCTGGAGTCGACCCGGTCAGCGACGCGGCTCAACAGCTCCACGGTGACTTTCGATACAAGAACCTCGACTACTTTATGCATTACGAGCACCGCCGCGATTGGTGCTTCTTCTGCGGCGGCAGGTCCAACGACTTCCATTTGGCGGAGACTTGCGCACGACAAACGTGCAACGGTTGCGGCGAGATAGGACATCCTGAAAGCAGGTGCCCTAGCGCATCGCGCGACATCACCTGCCCGCTCTGCCGCCAGACTGGACACCGGCCGGAGCAGTGCGATCGGGAACCGAGCAACACCTCAGCCTGAAGATGTCGCACCGCACGCAATCCAAAATCTCCTTTGCCACCTGGAACGCGGCTAGTCTTCTGCACGACGGGCGACGAAGGTTTCTCTCCACCTTGACGCGCAAACACGATGTAGTGTTTCTACAAGAGTGCCGCATACAACCGACGGTCACCTTTGATAGTGGCGACTTTCTACGATATCTACCGACAGCTCCGAATACAGCGCGCGGCTGCCTCACTTGGGACGCGGGTATCGTCATCTGCCGCCCGGACTGGATTATTGAAGAGACTCGAATCGGGGACAGGTGGGTCCACGTTCGAGTCCGTCTGCCAGAAGGATCCTTTCTCGGGCGCAACGGCCGGCAAACTCTTCATCTCTGGAGCCTGTCCTGCCCTCCCATCCGCACAGAAGCAGTCGAGTGGTGGGCTGCCGATGTTCCTGGCTTCTCACGCGTCCTGCCGGGAAGCACCGACTTGGTGGTCATCGGCGCCGACTGGAACGCTTTACACGATGCTCACATCGACTCACTCAACACCCACCCAAATCAGACCCGCTGGGGTCACATCTCGCCCGTGTTGGAGCATCTCCACCTGTTCGATGCCTTCCGCTTTCTACATCCATACGAGCGCAGGTACACACGCTACAACTACCGGCACGGGGAGATCAGCGGCGCAAAGAGGATCGACTCGGTCTGGATCAGCGACTACTTTGCCGATTCTTTGCGCGCCACCGACTTCTCCTCATCTCCGTCCGACCACTGGGCTGCTAGCATTGAGGTGCGGGAAGATGACCACATCAGCGACCTAGGTCCCGGCACCTGGCGTCTGCATCCGGGTGTTGCCTCCGATCCAGCAATGAAGGCTTTCGTCGCCGACTATGTGGAACGGTTGCTACAGAGCACGGAGTTCGCTCGGCAGGCCGGCATCGATGGGCCTCTAAGGACATGGTACGCCTTCGAGGAACGACTTCGGGTGGCGATACTCTGCAAAGGCCTCAGCATCAAGGCCGCTCGGGATGCTGCGCTCAGCGAGGTGCAGGTGCTACATGATAAACTCCTCAGTCTGGACCTCGCCCACCCTGATCAACGCCGAGTCTTTTAGGCGACTCATGAGCAACTGCGCCGCGCAGAGAGACTGGAGTCCGACGCAGAGAATATGGCCTTCGTCTCGCGCACACGAGCAGAGATGTGGCGGCCAACGGCGTGGGTTCTTCTAAAAACACGAGGCATCACTCCCACCATCGCTTCACTCGCCAATGCAGCAGGCCAAGTGGCGACGGACATTGGCCACCGTCTGCAAGCTGTCGGCGAATTCTACACCTCCCTGTATCAGCCAATGGACCGCGGTGCCGACGTTGACACTGCTCGCAGTAAGCTCCTCAGCTCAGTGCGGAAGCGCGCTTTGGACGCCACGGTCCACGCTCTCGACGCTCCCTTTGCGTTGTCCGAGTTCGTCCGTAGTCTTCGTCACTCCCGACCAAGCTCTGCGCCAGGTATGGACGGTGTTCCATACCCTATCTACAGCTTCTGCTCCGACGCCCTCTTCATCCTTGCGCAAGCAGTCAACGCGCTCCGCGAGGGAGCTTCCCTTCCTCATGGCCCCCTCCTTCGAGGGACATTGCTCTACAAACAGAACGACGGCACCAATCTCCGCAATTACCGGCCCCTCTGCATTGCCGACACAGACTTGAGGATTGTTGGCCGAGCCTACGCAGAACGGCTACAACGCATGGCAATCGAGGTACTCCCCGAAACTCAGCGCGGGTTTATGCTTGGTTGGCAGTCCACCAACGCTGCCATCGCTACATACCTGGCTGTGTTGCAAGCGTGGTGCTAGGCCAGACCATAGTCTTGTTATCAGTCGATCAAGGAAAAGCTTGCGACAAAGTCGATCGCGAGTGGTTATTCCAGGCACTATCAGCGTACGGTTGTCCCTTGTCGTTAGTCAACCTTATATGCGGCCTTTACACAGATCCGGCGGTTCGCTTCATCGTCAACGGATACCTTACCGAGCCCATCGCCCTGCGCTGTGGACTTCTTCAAGGCGAGCCGGGCTCGTGTCTTCTTTACAACTTCTCGCTCCAGCCAATGCTCGACTGGTACGCCACAGCCAATACAGGCTTTGTTCCGCCTTGGCGATTGAGCACTCGGCGACCCATCTCTTCGGTCGCCTTTGCCGACGACGTAGTACTGCTGGCCACCAGTGTTGACGACCTTCGAAAGGTGAAAGAGGCGCTTCGCCTCTATCGGCGAGCGGCTGATGCAAGACCCAACCGAAGCAAATCCTGCAGCGTCGTCCTTGGCCCCCGTTGTCCAGCCCTGTTGACTGGGCTTCCTTTCGAGCAATACTCCGCTGAGGTCTTGGTTCACCTTGGCTTCCCTATCCATACGCAGGGACAATCCCTGTCGAATTCATCACAGAGCGGATTTGCGCAGTGGCAGCTAAGCTCCCGCTCCTTTGAACGCAGGACACCGACATCATCGGCCGCATAAACATGATCAACTGCTTTATTCTCTCGCGTCGCAGGTATTCTTTGCGCCTTGGGCCGATAGCAATTTCACTGCCAAAGGACGTGGCGGACGTCGTCCTGCCATGAATCTTCCGCACCAATCGGTGGCTGGTGATATACCGCATAGTCTGCGCGCCGCGCCGGTATGGGGGATTCGGACTCATCGATGCGGACGACATGCTGGCCTGCGAGCTCAAGAGCTCGGCTTGACGACGGGAGTGAGCTGTGCTTGTCAGTGATCATCTCCATCAAAAAACATCGAGCTCGGCTTGACGACGGGAGTGAGCTGTGTTTGTCGGTAATCATCTCCATCGACGATTGCCCTCTCGCTTCAGGACTTGCTCCATGATCGGTCTCCTCAGGCCAGCTCGATACATCGCGCGTTTCCTCCAGCTCCTTCAGCTCGCCATTAATCTTTGTCGCCCACACGCTCCCTGTCTCTTCTTGCTAGTCACTCGCGGTTAGCACGGCCACATCGGTGTTCCCTCACGCACACTCATGTATTGCTCTCCGACAGAACTCCGCGCCCTCGGGTCTGCGTCAGGCGCAGTGGCTTCAAGCCTCGCGGAGACGTATGGATGACGAGAGACTCGCTTCTTTTCCTTCTCGCTCCACCGTCCGCAATCTACACCTACCTCATCTTCCTCTTTTGCCTCTCCCCCCACTCGACTCGTTTCGGACGCCTCTTTCACAGGTAGCCTTTGGTTTGGCCCGCACCATAAATAGAGCAGGGGCGTTATGGTACGCACCCCTCCCGTGAGTGGACATAGTGTATGGTCACGTAGACTTACACATAGGGTGCGGCTCTCTGTCGCCACGCGCGGGGTTTCATTCCCTGCCCTCTTTGGCTGCCGGAACAAGCAATCCGAAGTAGCAGACCGGCAAGACGCGGACGCAACGTTTCGAACGCCTCCATGTATGTTCCGTTGTTCTGTACTTACACATGTGATCGGACGCGACCACGTTTGTTTGTACCTTTTACCACAACAAAGATAATGCGCAGCTTATGCATGAAGACCAGCGCGCATCTGCGTCGGTGAGGGGTGTGCCGGACACACCTGTATAGAAGATAGCCTTGCCGTTGCAGAAATGTTAAACGCACAGGCAAGCGACTTGAACAAGCTAGCGATGGTTTGATTCGAGAGTGGAATCGAGAGGCCGATTCGATGGAAGTGGACTTCTTAGAGGCTTGGCGCTGCGGGGCCAAGCGAGAGTCAATTTGGTAGAAAGTACTATTTGACTTGGTGCGTGAGGCTGTACCGGAATTGGGCCGGTGAACACCCCCGTCTGGCTTGGTCTACGATGCTGCGCCAGGAATGTCTTGAGAAAGTATGGATCCCGCTTGTCTGTGTGGATACCCCGTGCGGCTTGCCCCGCAAGCAATGTCTACAATGAAAATGGTCATGACCTGCACACTTCTCGTCTCAGTGGAGTGTGCACCTTGCGAGACAGCCAGGCGCGACCTAGCCACTCATCCACCAGATCGCAGCGCAAAGCTTACTGCATGCATTGCGATATACGAGGTGGCTGGGTATTCTACAAAGAGAAAGCCACCGTTGACCCAGCTTCACCGCTACGAACATCCTCTCCACCAGCGCCAAAGCACTCCTCGTGTTTCAGGACTTAGTGGTTTACGTCAGGGAGCCACCAGTGCGCGCGGAATTACACGTTGGTTTTGGACACCGCGATCAACACTGGCAGTAACCCCCTTTATCGTACGAGGTGTCATCTCCAACTTCGAGGAGCCTATTGCTAGGCAGCCCTGACGCATGGGGAGAGAACACGTATGCTGTTGAAGCTGGGCCGCTAGATCTGGTGGACAGTTGGCTCAGACGCTGTCCAGAAGATCCCTCTGCAAGCTACCACCGACCTCAGGCCACGTGAAAAGGCCCATATTTTCAGGGCTTCACAAGACACGCAGCAAGACGTCCAGCACTGAACACCGGTGAACGGCGTCTTGCAGGGCTGCGCAACACGAGGCGTGTGCCTCCGACAACCGGCCACCTGTGAGCAGTACCAAGTGGGAGAATGCGGCTTATGCACGCACAAAGTAAGCTGTTGGCCTCGCACCTGATCACTGAACACTGGTGAACGGCATCTTGCAGGGCCCAGCAAAACCCCGGGCATGTGCCCTAGACAACCGGCCACCTGTGAGGAGCACCAAGTGCAAGAAGTAGCAAGCTGTTGGCTTCAAACTCGGTGCGCACTGTACTCATCTAGGGCAGAGCTGGCGGAAATGCGCACAAGACCTACTATTCAGCCTGACAGCAACGTGCAAAAGCCCTGTCACTAAGACCAGATGTTGGATGAATGTCGAAGTGTGTCGTGCCATGTGGAGCTGCAGACATGGTGGAATGGAGTGGTTGAGCGAGATGTGGAAGAAAGCGCGAGGGAGCAACCAATTTGTGACTTGCCCCAAGCCCTTCTTATACCTCCTCTGCCACTCTACATGGTCTTCGCTCATGCGCGCACTGCAGCTGGAGGGCAAGAAAGCCAGGGACTCGAGCCTCATATAAGCACGAAACGCTCTGCTACGAACAGCTGGGTAATTTCGTCATCAATAATAGAGCTCGGGCCGCAACATGCAGGCGATAACGCCGCCGCACCTCGACGATCCGTGCACCTCAATGCAGCACCGCTGTGCGCAGAGGCGCGGCCGTGGTATATCTGCCCTGCAGCGCTAAGCTGCGTCTGACGCTTGGTCCTCCGCATCGTCACAGAGGTGTGGTGAACGGCTGGGCATCGACGAAGAGGTGTCCGGAAGAGCATGTACTGCTGAGCCGCACGCTGGCTGACTGGTGATCGATAGGCATGGCGACAGCAACTGCAAGCTCATACGAAGTAGACCAAATTTGCGCGGGGGAAGTCACCCAATTCCTGTGTGATTAGTGCACCCTCACGTTCCGGCGTCGAGAATGGTCCTGCGATGGAGTGTGGCTAGCCGAATGTATGTAGACCTCTCCCCTCTTTTCGCCCGCGAGAGCCCGGCCAGCCGGACAGCGGATATGCGAGCGAAGCACCTTTCTTTCGAATTTGCAGTTATCGCTCTGCCAAGCCGTGCTACACACCAGATGTTTGTCGGGTGGATTAACCTCTGCTCTACCGAAGAAGTAGGCACCTTCCCTGCGCGTATAGTCCGCTCGACGACGTTCAGAAAGCCTAGAGCAAGCATGCCAATCCGTAATGCGTAGTCGTGACTGAGATCATCGCATGTCATTCATTGATTCGAAGTGAATAGACGTTGCAAGCGTGGTGAGCGCCTCCCATGCGAGCCACGGCTTTGACAAAATTAAACACAATTGTCCGCCAAAGTCTCTCCAATCACTTGACGGAGCGATCGCCGTGCCGGTGGCGGTCTACTGGGCACGGGAGCTCTCTTTGTTTTCCAAACTTGCTCCCTCACGCGCCAAGATAGTCTGGGCGTCAATCGTGTCCCGACATGCGAATCTCCAAATGTGGACCTGCTTCGTTTGGCCGAATCTGATCGCCCGTCCGCGCGCTTGCTCCATCGTTTGGTGATACTGTTGCGCCTCCTCCATGATGAGCGGCGACAAGAAGATGACGTGATTGGCGACCGTCAGATTTGAACCAGCAGCGCTTTCGTCGGCAATATTGAGTAGTAGGCAACGCTCGTCACCATTTTGGAAGCTGTCCAGCTGGTCAGATCGACGAAGGGCGGTGCCTTGAAGCCTAACAAATGAAATATTTGATTCGCGGAGAATTTCTGCAACCTTGGCAAGCAAGCCGTCGTACTGGACGAAGAGGAGAACCCGATCGTTTGTCGAAAGACTTCGCAATAAATCTGCGATGCGTTGCAGTTTGATACCGTAGCGCGTTCCTTTTTCTTCCACGCCCAGGGTTGACGCCTTGACGATCGAAGTGGGTTTGGCTAGAGCATTGCAGTCCTGTGTGCAACACTTGCCTATGTAGGCTTCACGCAGCACGCAGTCGTGGCAACCCGTGTGTCCGCAAGTAGATGCAAGGGAGATGTCGGACAATTCGAGCTGCCTTCCGCGTTTGCTGCATTGCGGCGAGGGGCACACGATGTTGAGCGAAGCAGCACTCTTCACCCGCGCGCGCTGAATATCTCGCACTTGGGTGAAATACCGAAGCGACTGTTCGCGGGCCCAGTACTCGTTGCGCAACCTTTGCAGTAGGTGGACGGTATTGCGCAACGCGAATTCCTGCTCCTGAGAGGGGAAACGTCCGTGCACAGCGTCGTCAATCTCAGCAAGTGTGCCGGTTTCGCGCCAAGTCCACACGTCAGACTAACCCAATTGTCAGAGATGCTCGTCTCCGCCTTCTTCTTGAGCTTCGGGAAACGTCGACGTCCAGCTCTTTCATCGAGTTCCTCGACCGTGCAGCCCACTTCAGCTAACATTTTGGTGAGCTGTGGTTTGCAGTGTGCATCTCCCCATGCACTATTCTCTACATTGCGTGCGAATGTCACCAGAGGACGGTTGGTGTCGTCGCGGAAAGCGTACTGCAAGAGGCAGACAAAATGCTGCGGAATTGCAACCTCGCGAATCTCCCGTCGCAGCTGCTTGAGACACTCGTCGCGCTGACGCCGACGCTCGCGCACAATAAAGTCGCAGGCTTCAATCTTCAAATGATGCGTGCAAGGTCAGTCTGGAGCGCACATCGCAGATTCTTCTAAACGCAGGTACTCACTGCGTCCGTCGTTTCGATGTCGTCGAGCATGAAGTGCGCAGCCTGACGTGAAAGCGCCTCTTCCGGGCTTGAGCTCTGACCAACCGTCTTACGCAGCCGCTCGTCACGATCATTACCGCCGTCTGTGCCCTTCTTCTTGGCCGCGGTCGCAGAAGCTGACGCTTTGAACACGCGGCGCGCAAGGCGCAGGTCAAGCGACTCGATGGTGTGAGCCAGCTCCAAGTAGCATGCTCGTTCAGCAGCTGGCATTTGGACAGCCTGCATGTGCTCAGTGAATGGGCTGCGTCGTCGCCGTCGCACAAAAGCAAGTCGTGAGACAGGGTGTTACGCAGAAAGTGGCCGACATGCATGTCCAGACCACTCACATTTCGTCAATCTCTGCTATGTTCTGCCGCACAAATTGGTCAAGGAAACCTTGAGCCAAAGCTTGTCTTCGATGGTGCCAGGCGGGTGAGCGGATCTCGACGAAATTTCTAAATCTCTCCACCAGAGTTCGTTCTTTCTCCCGACGGCTCCTGACGGACTGTTTCGAGGAGTCCGCATCATCGTCGACGCCCAAGTGGATATTGAGGAAGGCGGCAATCGACTTGACATCCGCAAAGTCGGCCGTCGGTGGAGTGCCCGAGAGGATCCAGGTGGAGTGCGAAGCCAGGTTTCGAATCGCTGAGAATGCTCTGTCGGCATTCGCAGCGATGTAATGAAACTCGTCGACGACCACTCTTTCCCACATGAAGCACTCCAGAGGCATCGCCCGGAGCGAGCCGAACGATTTGCGAGCAGACTAGATGCGGCCGTGGGAATGATGCGTTCAGCGACATGCTGTATGAGATCGCAGTCAAGCAGCACTCACGGCGGATCCCAAGCCCCAGGGATCGGCTGGGATGCTGCTGGTCTTGGGCTTCGCAGCTTTTCGACGCGGAGGGCTATCATCGAGGAAATCGTCTTCTTCGCTATCGGACGCATGACGCTTTGATTTGGCCTTCTGCTTTGGCTTGCTCTTGCCGCCTGTAGTCGTGGCCCTGTCTCCTTCCTCTGCATGGGCGTCCGCGTACGCTTGACCTATCAGACGCTTGCTACGCTTGGCTGATGCGAGATGTGTTTCGTCAAAGTCGACCTATTCCACAGATTGAGAGTGCGCGCGCGGCTTGATCAGTAAGGCGTGGGCATCACCGCTGCTTCGAAGCAGTCACTCACTCGGCGCTTGACAGAGTCCAATACTTTCGCGACCCCTTCGGTCTGCAGCTCTTGCATACGATTGCGCAGCGCCGCAAGCGACTGAGTCAGCGCTGCTTCGAAGAAGCGCCCGGCTTTGGCAGGCAGGGGGTTCGCAGCAGCAAGACGAGACAAGGATTCGAAGTAGGCATCGCTTTTGTAGATTGTGACTGACATGATGATCAGGTCCGCTTCCTTGATATCCTCAATCGTGGTGGCGTTGAGCTCAGCCTTTGAATGGATTACGCGCACTTTGAGCTTGTCACCGGTGAACTTCGTAAGGAGAGGAGGCAGCTGTCAGCGGACGAGACTTTGACCTCGACCAGCATGGCCCCGCTCTCACCTTTGTGACCTCATTGGCCCACTGCTTGCACAGATGCGGAGGCACAATAACAAGCGTAGCCTTTGTCTGAATGTAGCGCTTGTCTTTGCTCGGCTTGCGCTCACGCGCGGCTTGGCGTCGAGCGGCGACGAGGCCCAGGGTGATGGCCGTCTTGCCGTAGCCCACAGCGTCAGCTACCACACCGCCGCGCACCGTAACTGGTCGTGTGGCTTTGCCTTCCGCCCTCCAACCCATAGGTGTGAGGAGGCCTTCAGAGACCTCCTCCTCTACGAACGGGGCTACCGCGTCTGCTTCTTGGTCGAGCATCCAGCTCAGCGAGCGTCGCTGCTCTTTTCGTAATTCAAGGCGGAAGAGAGCTGGCGTTGGTGCCTCGCTGTCTGCTCGATTGCTCCTCAGCTTGTACGAAGGTATGTTGAACTCGTCCAGTGCTTTGTCGATTGCGCTGAGTTTCCAGGAAAGCGTGGCAGGTGCCGTGTCTTGCCTAGGCGGGAGGCGGGACAGCGCGCGGTGCATCAGCGTCAAAGCGTTGACGCCGATGCGAGCGGTCGCCACGTCGCCGTCGACTCGAAGGTGCATCACGAATGGTGAGGGTCGATTCTTCAAAGCCTGCTCGTAGGGAGCCGCTTGCTGCTCATTCTCCACTGGAACAGGCTGTCTACCAGGAATTTGTAGCCAGTGTACAGCTGGTCGAGCGGGAGCACAGACCGCGCACGAAGCACATTCGACGTCGACTTGAGGACCTGGCATCCATGTAGAGAAAGCGTCTATGCCAGGCACCCTGTCTACGAGCCAGGCGAGCTTGTCGAACGTTACGAGTGTCTTGTGCTCCAAGTCAACAATTTGCCACTGTGCATCCTGAGCAGGCCACACATCTTGGCTGCCTCGTTGAGCAGGAATCGTTGCTCGGCAAGCTAGCACTGCAACCGACTCGAGACAGGTCCTAAATTGCCCTGGCATGTGGGCTATCCGAGGAACTTCCATCGAGGAGGCATGTGATGGCTCTACGGTAGTCAAGGACATTGAGTCGTGATCCAGCCACCTCGACTCCGAAAGCAGGTCGACCGTCGACGACGTGGTCTCGATAGGTCCAGGAAGTCTCCAGCCTGGCTGCAGGCGTCCGATGACGGCTCGCTCGAGCGGAAAGGGAAGAGGATCAAAGTTTGGGGCGAAGACGAAGGAGTCCGCTTCTTTCCCTTCTAGACGATGCGGATCGAGAAATAGATACGTCCTCGCTGCGCGAGAGTCGCGATTTCGCTTGACGTGAAGCGCACCGTTCGCGGTGCCGCATTGTCCAAGTAGCTCGTATTCTCCGTCAAGGTCTTCGCCCAGAGGACCGTCAACGTGAACGTGCATCGCACTCCACCGCTCCGTGCCAGCATAGCCACCACCAAGTCCTAAATTGGCTTCCCAAGAAGGCACCAACGCGCCCGAGCCAGTGATGGTCGCCCTCATTGACTCAGCCACGGGTAGATTGAGCTGCCAGCAGCCAGTCAACAAATCGCGAGCACCTCGTTGGAGCTCCATGCGTGCGACTGGCCGGAGCAACAGGGCGCGCAAGGCACCGCGTGAAGCTTCCTCAGCATTGGGTTCCACGTAAAGATCCCAGTGGGGCGTTTGCGGATCCAAAATGAGTTCTAAACGCGTCTGGTTGCCGAGAAAGACTGCCGTCCACTTTCGTTGCCGAAGCAGGCCACTGAAGTGCAGCACGACGTCTTGGCACACTTTGCTGACGTGATTGCGCCACTGGGCAAAAGTGTCGACAGCTACGAGCCGGGCGAAATGATGTCAATTTACAGCACACGCTGACGCAGGAGTCCATACTCACTTCGCAAGCCCCTGGACGAGATGGCGGCATCGCCAAGCTGGAGTCTCAAGCGCATGGGTAGATACTTCTTCAGCTGCGCTTCGAATGCTTCTGGGCGCTGACGACTGCGTTCGTCAAGCTCGAAGAGGTGCTCCGGGCGACCTTTGCAGGTGGCGCAGGCTGTGTGCTCGCAGGCCGAGCACTTGAAAATCTTCTTATCTGACACTCCTGTTCTACCTTCGCAGCTGCATCGCTGCGCGCTTTCGACAGCATGCTTCAGCAAGTGACCAAGGTCGAGATGCTGAGCGTGGTCGTCGAGGTCATATGGCTTGCGGACAAGTTGCCCAAGGACAGAGTCTGGCTTCTCCTGCACCTCTTGTGACTTCTCAATCTCCATCGACACATCTTTGCCTTGGCGACGGGCTGCGAGATCTGGCTGCGCAATCAGCAGTGCAGCCATGACGCACGTGCCGACGACGGTAGAGCTCATGGCGTTTCCCGCCAAATTCTGCAGCTGGTCATTGGTTTCTCTGGATAGAAGCAGCTCGTCGATCGGAAGTCCTTGAAGAGCAAGTGCTTCGATACCAACCAGCGGCCCACCTCGAGAAGTGAGGTACGGCATGCCCGAAGGCGTTAGGCAGCCTACGGTCCCGGGCTTCGAGCTAGCAATGTTGCGATCCACATTCTGACTCAGCTCCCAAACTCGACTTTTGAAGTTCGGGTCAAAGCCTTCTTTAGCGCAGCGCAAGGTCGTGATGTCGAGAAGATCCAATACACGTTCAGGCATTGGTAGTGCCCACTCATTCCACGCATCGTGCGAGAGCTTGCAGCCACCGCCTTCTTCCCACGCCGTGAATGGGCGTGATTTACCAAGAGCCTCCTCGTCTCGAGCACGCTCGTGTCGGCCCTGACAACGCGACCAATCGATCGTCGACCGACCCTGGACACAATGGTGCGGCTGACGTCAGCCTGGCCTACACTCGATGAGAGCATCCACATCACATACCTTTCCATAGCCCTCTCCTAGAGCAAATTGGAGTCTGACGTGCTGAATGCGCGGATCGTCGGTGGGTAGCAGAAAAGACTCCAGGGTGGAAGAAGCAGGTCTGCTCATGGATTTGGTGAGGGCTTCCCAATTTGCAGGGTAATCGTCCTTGTTGTTATGTGTGGCGATGAGATAGCCTCGTTGGCGAGTGTGCGGGATGTAGTAATGCTTTGTATCGAAGGTGTTGCAGAAGGCGGCCTGAGGAAGGGCTTGAATTAGTGATCTGAAAGATTACCAAAGCATTCGAGCAATGCGATGCTCACATCATAGTCAATGTCAACAAAAGCCTGCGCCACCCCAGCCCAAGGGGCACTCTTCACGTTTTCCAAAATGACAATGGCAGGTTTGTGACGCTCGACCCAGTTCAACATGCCATAGAATGTTCGTCCACTCTCGCCTCCCTCCTCCATTCCCTTTCTCTTGTTATTCAGCCCTGAGTAGTCCACGCAGCTGAAAAGGTAGGCCCCTGGTCAGCCTCCTTCCTGAACTCACGTCTGCCGTCCGCACTCCACACTCACCTAGTTCCAGCAACGAGTAGGTCCACATCGCCAGGTACGTCAACGAGCGCGCCATATGCAGTGTGTGCTTGATCGTCGCCCAGCTCGCAGACATCTCGGAACAAGAGCGGGGGCGCAAAGTTTCGCTCAATGTATGCTTGCTTGTAAGGTTCGATCTCGCACGAGAATACGTGGTGTACCTCGATATCTATGCCGTGTTGCGCCTTGGACGCCCGCGACATGAGATTTAGAGCCAGAAGCGGCGACTCGGTACCGCTGCACATGGTAGCGACGCGAAGAGGACGGCCCTAGTAAGGTCGGAGAGAGATTGTACGTCAGTAGCGTTTCTCGCTCTTGCAACGCGCTTGCAAGTACTGCAAGCTCACTTGCAGTGTCTTGGCCAGCTCGACGATGGCAGTGGTGTCGCATCTCTTGACGATGTCGGCAAAGATATCGTCAAGGTCATGCATGGGAGGCAGTCGACCCTCCAGAGCGTCGTCTTTGGCGGCCGCAGCCATCAGTGTGGCTTTCGGCATATCCGGCACAAAGTCCCGGTACTTGACCTTTCGATCCTTGCGGAATTCTGGCACCCAGTGGGCGCTGGATGAAGTGGATGGCTTCGATTTGGTTGAGCTCGCACTCTTCCTGCGCTTTTTCGATGGGCCGCCAAAGTCGCTGTCATCATCAGAAGCGATGAAGTCCGGCGTTGCGCGTCGGACGCTAGCAATCAAAGACGTGGTAGAGGTGAGTGAGTAAGCAGAGTTTCCGACCTATCTCAGCTTCCACACGTACCGGCTCGACTGGGACTTCGCAGGCGACTGCGCAGCCGGTTTCCCGAAGCTGAGCCGAGTCTGCTTGAACTTCTTGGTGCTTTGCCCTTGAGTGACCGTCGCTATCGCGAGGCTGCTCTTTGGCAGACCAGCATCCACTTTTATGGGAGCGACGACCACTGGATCCGTTCCGTTCTTGAAGCAGTCGTCATCGAGCACCTGATGGGGTGTTGCAAACAGCTCTTGGTTGAGGCCCTATGCATCGCAACGCTTTCAAGGGTGCACGCGCTCACCTCGAAACGATTGCCATGCTGACTCATGGGCGTTGTCACTTCACTGGGCTCGGCGCTCGCCCCCGCCGACTCGGTCAGCGCAGGAGTACCGGTGGATTCCCGCTCATCGGTGGACTCTTCTTCCTCAGCTTCGGCCACGTCCTCGTCCTCATCCTCTTCATCGCTCTGGTCCTCCTCCTCCTCCAAGACAAAGTCGGATTCCGAATCCGAAGCGACACGCTTGCGCTTGCTGCTCAATGCCTTCTTTGGCCCACGCAGCAACTCCTCGTCCGATGAATCTTCGCTCTGATAGACGCGCACGCGGGTGCGCCCGGAGCGCGTGCCCTGGCTCGATGGCGGGGAGCGGGCCATGACGTTATCGGGCTCGAAGGGGGGACGCCTATGCTCGAGAAGGGGTAAAGCGAATCGGTGAGGGTGGCATAGATGTAGCGAGGGAATGCGCACGAAGAGACCTACGGTGATGCTTCGAGGGTGCGAAGAACGTTACTTGAGGAGAAGGCCTACCGAGCTCTGATCGTGAATAAAAGAGGGAATGCACAATCTGCCGCAGGTCGAAGGAAGCGGATGCAATTAACACGTCGACGATGTCGCGCGCGCGCTCGTCACCAACACGTCACTCGAATTCCTTCTCGCGCGCGTTCGACGCGACGCGCCGTCCGGGCGGGGCGCATGATGTTGCGCGGCTGTCAGAAGATACCTTCGTGGAGCTTCACCGCGGACGTCCGTTCCCATGCACATGGCGTGATCACATAATTTGAGTAGTATAGTCACGAGTCAAGAGTCACCAGTGTACGTATAGTTGGAGTAGTGTCACCATCATATGCAACACGTCCTTACAATCACAATCTTGATTATTCTTGATTTGCAACATTATGGACAAGTGTGCGGAGTAAGGACTCACATCTCGTGACTGCACCGGCCCGCCAGTACCCGCCGCGTAACGTGGAATCAAGAATAAATTCCTCTGCTGCCTCCACACGGCCCCCAGCCGCTTCCGTATTACTCTCAATCGGCGAGGTCACGATCATCTATCATCGACCAGCCCAACATCCTCGGCGATCTGCGTGAGCACTACGATCGAACCCAAAGCGTGAGCTTCGCGCCGGCCGTGCCATCCAAAACTCCAGAGCCAATTCCCACCACTTGCCTCGTGACACACCGCATGTTGCCCTGCACGCCATCATGCCATTCAAAGCTTACATTCTGACCGGTGAGGAACGCTCCTGAGTATCGCTTCAGCTCTATAGCCCACTCATCACCTCTGTCTCGGGTCTGTTTCGATCATCTGTACGCTTTCCAGTGTCTGACACGCTCGCGCAGGCCAAGTCTGCCAGCGATCCCATCCAAACAACCAACACGTCCGGTCTGACGCTGCGAGAGAGCCTGCAACAGCACTCGTCGAAGCAGTTTTCTGTAGAGGAAGAGGCGGTGGTGGCGGATGACGTTGCCGACATACAGCACACAATCAAGCGATGGATAGCAGGACGCGCTGATCTGATCCTGACGACTGGCGGAACGGGCTTCGGTACGCGAGATGTGACGCCAGAGGTGAGCCAGATGGGAAGGAGACGTCTGCTTGGACCTCGCATTGCTCACTAGCGTCTGGCGCTCGCTGGTCCGCAGGCAATCGCACCGCTGGTGTCCAAGCCAACACCTGGCCTCACGCATTTGCTATTATCTCACAGCCTCCAGAAGACTCCAATGGCGGTCCTATCTCGACCTGTAACTGGAATCGCACTGCATGCTCCTCTCCCGCAGAGCACTCCCGAGACCCAGCAGACGGGAGCCATCATCGTCACGCTTCCTGGATCTACCAGAGCTGTGGGAGAATGCATGGACGCTTTGCTGGGAGACAGCGTGCTTCAGCACGCGCTTGAGCTAGTGTCTGGCGGGTCGGGAAGCCGGCAACATGCCTCAATGCAAGGTCCGGGAGGAGGTCGAGATGGCGCCAAAGCTAGCCACACCAGTCTGAGCGGAACAGAAACAGATACAGGCAGTGCTAGAGCGGGGTCTGGACTGCAAGGTCAGCATCACCATCCACACCACCACCATCATCATCATCATCATGGGGACCACGTCGCTCCAAAGCCTCGCACGGAGCAAAGCGAGGAATCGCCTAGCTACGTCACGCGAGACCCGGGAGGACCAGCATCGCGTCATCGCAAGAGCCCATACCCGATAGTATCGCTCGACGCCGCTCTGAACCTCATCGCCGAGCATACCCCCTCACCCCGGCAAACACATGAAGCCTCGATTGACCGAAATTTGATCGGCGCAATTGTCGCCCGTGACGTCACTGCACGGACTGATCTTCCCCTCCGACCAACGACTAACGTGGATGGATACGCAATTTCAGCCCATCACACACCACCGGGCTCGTGTCGGGTCAGTTCATCGAATGCGAGATTCGAAGCTGGTAGCGTTCAGCGTATCAACACCGGCCAAGGACTTCCGTCGGGCGCCGATGCGGTGGTGATGGTGGAGGATACGGAGCTTCTGGAGAGCTCGGATGATGGCGAGGAGCGCTACATCAAGGTGTTGGCGCAGGTGGATGCGGGAGAGAATGTGCGAAAGGCTGGAAGCGATGTCAAACAAGGGAGTGTCATCTTGCGAGCCGGTCAAAGATTGAGCGAGCTCGGCGGGGAGCTGGGCACTTTGGCTTTCTTGGGCTATCCGAAGGTGCGTCGCTGGAGCTCTGGGCAGACTCTGCGAGGTCTCTTTTTTAATCCCTTGTTGATGTACGCGCTCTGATACTAGGTCACAATACACACAAAGCCGAAGGTTGCCATCTTGTCCACTGGCAACGAGCTCGCAGACATTGCTGCTTCACAGCAGACTGACGCCTGGGGATTTCGAATTTGGGACGCCAATAGGCCCGGTCTACGGGCGGCAATCGAGTCCGCTGGATACGAAGTAGTCGACTTGGGCATAGTTAATGACGAGTGAGTCTCTCAGCATTGAGCGTGTATTCATCTGCACAAATGAGGGCATCACTTGATGCTTTCGCGTCCTCACATAGCCGTCGAGCAACAATCGACGCACTTCGAAGGGGACTGGAAGAGGCTGAAGTTGTTCTGACAACCGGCGGGACCAGCATGGGTGAAAGCGACCTGCTGAAGCCTATCATCGAGCGCGACCTTGGAGGCAAGATCCACTTTGGGCGCGTCGCCATGAAGCCGGGTAAGGTAAGCTGCAGTCTAGCCTCGCCAGCCGTGAAGAGGCCGCCGTGCTGACATGTTAGAGCCACGGCGATAGCCTACCACATTCGCCACAATCCCTTGCGAAAGCTCCGATCGCGTGGTGTTCGCACTGCCAGGCAATCCAGCCAGCGCTCTAGTGTGCTTCTACGTCTTCGTATTGCCTTCCCTCCGCAAGCTTTGCGGCCATCACGCATCCATCGCGCCGTCTGATCAAGGGAGGTCGTGGAGCGTGCCCCGCGTCAAGGTGCGATTGGAAAATGCGATGAAGCTGGATCCCCGGCCAGAGTTCCACCGCGCTGTTGTCTACCCAGACGCTAATGGTCGATTAGTGGCGAGAAGCACCGGATCTCAACGTAGCAGGTGAGCCTCGTGATGGCACTCTGAATCTCGCGCCGTCCATGCTACCTCAACTCGGTTCTCTGATCTTGACCTCGTCCACTGCTAAACTACCGTCGCAGTGGGATGCACTCGATGGCGACAGCAAACGCACTGGTCTGCGTACCTGCGCTGGATGGCTCGCCTGGAAGCCCCACACAGTTGCAAGCAGGATCCGAGGCCCTGGCGATGCTGATTGGCAGCATTTTGTAGCCGGGACCTGAATTGGCTCGACAAGAATCGTATCACAAGCGCCATGCTCTCATCCGATCCGACGAGAGTGTCTTGCGCTGACCATGCGAGAGTCAATTGTCTGCCTAGCATACAGCGATATCCAAGCCTAGCTCCCTCGCTCTCTTCTCAGCCTCCCTGAGAGCTTCCGCCTCATCCAGACCTCTCCTCCGCGCCGTGCTGAGGCAGTCGCCAACAACGCTAAGAAGACTGTTGTTCTCCAAAGCAGCAGCTACGCGCTCCTTGTCGTTGAGCTGCTTGTTGATTGCGCGTTCACTCTGGTGCGTGCCTGGCCGCACTTGGATATCCACCTTGTAGCGTGGAGGTAATGCACGCAGCAAGCGAACTCGCAGCGCAAGACCTGCAGAGGACACACGAGAGGCAAGGGCTGGATCAGCGAAACGAAGCCCTGGTCAGCAAGCCTTCCGCTGATTGTAGCACGTACCGATCAGTGTGGCCATTGAGCAATGGGGGATGGTTGGCGTAAATTCGAGTAGAACGGTGGGCAACCGACCGGTCTGTGGATCGCCCTCATCCACCTTGATATGCTGAGCTTGCACCACTGCGAGCTGCTCAAGCGTCAGCGGATGTTCAGGATCGGACACTGAGCGTATGAGATCTGGCGATGTGTTGAGAGAAAGGAGTGGGTGAAGGAACCGAATCAATAAATTGTATCCCGCATCCGATCCCAACGACTGCGAGACTCACCGAAGACCTCGAGCGCGTCGATGCCCTGTCTTTCCTCGGCCAGTGCCGCACCTCCAGACGCATCTGATTCTTCCAGTCCATCTTCGAGCCCATGTGAAGCATCTGCGAAGCCTCTGCCAAGTCCGCCAGAGCTCGTATCGTGCACGGCAGGATCCCGCCACCAATCATTGCCACCTCCGAGGGAAAGGGAACCCAGCAAGTCGCCGTCCTTCTTGCCCTCCTTGCGACGCTGTGTGCTACCTGAAGGGGCGTGAATGATCGGATTGGCATTCTCCTTGTCCGCCATGTTGCAGGCAGGGCGTCGACGTGTGGCGAGTTCAACGTTCTTGCGATATCGCAGACGGCCGATGTTGCACGATTGGGGAGGTTGTCAGTCGGCTGAGCGTCAACGTGGGTCGTGCTGAGCGACCGCTCTTAGGAGAAGATTTGACGTGCAAATTTGATGCTTTGTGCAGTATGCAGACAGCGAAAGTCAATTGTGGTCAGCGTTCGGAAGATTGACGTGAGCGGAGATACAAGAACCGGAATGGCAGGACCTGTGGAGGCACGCACACCAACGTCTATAGTCTGGTACTCTTGCGCGCGCCCAGCATGCAGGCCGCACTCGTGACTGTTCTTGAATCAAACTGAAATCCACTCTCGGCAAAGTCAAATACGAACTCCGCAGGCCCAATACCAAAGCTGGGCACGCCGAACACATGCATACGCGTGCATCAGCGGCGATCTGGCCCATCCGCGTTCATGCCTGTTATTGCTGCGTGGGGAGGCATGGTTGATTGTTGTATTCAGGATTGAGAACGCGGCAAAGCGAAAATAGACCCTGCGGGACCAATACAAGACCACGCGTGACCAATTTGAATACGGTCGCGTGCATCAGCGTGCATCCGCGGCTGCTTGGGTGAGGACTCTGTCCACCACATCAAATTTCAAGCTTTCAAGATTTTGGTTTCGGGCCACAACCACAATCACGAATCACGATTGGCTGCTCTTGACTCAAGACTGCATCCTTGCCCACTGCGTCCAGCATCCCTCCCGTGCTTGTGATCGCCCATCACCAGTACCGATTCACGATCCATAGAGCATCCTTGGAGCTGCCTAAGAATGACAATGATTAGGCAAGCTTGACACCTCACGCTTCTGCAGGGCCTGAGCAGACCGGCGGATGCGCGTCCCCTTGCGGCTGCATCAGCACGCGGTCCGCGCGAACGCTCTCGCAAGCCGTTGACTGCTGCTGGCGCGCGTCAGAAGTACAGTCACCTTTGAGTGGAGCGTCATATGTACCGAGACTCTGACTGGTATACATCAGGTAGATGATGGCTGAGCGTTGATACTGTGATGCATGGAACAACTTGCCTCCACATCGACGTTCATCACTTGTGACAGCTGCTGACGGTTGCCCAGACACTCGGTCTGACTTTTTTCGACGGCACAAAACGCTGCCGTTGGGACATCTATCCGCATCCGCGAACACCTGGCGTCGCAATCTCGTCAAGACGGCACCACGAGTTTGTGAGCAACCTTACATGCTTCAATGATTGCGCGGCCCGACACGGCACTTCCCCTCAGCTGCTCCGCCGAGATGAGGAGGGTGGTAAAGCGTCAAAGTCAAATGATGAATATGGTCAAATGCGTCACAACTTTTGACTGTTCTCACACGTCATCACCATCCCGGCCGCTGAGGGCAAAGACCCAAGAGACGCCATTCGTGATTTCTCCATGGATGTGTGTTGCGGGCGGACACGTACCTTGAGGAGCGTATCGATCCCTGGTGTTATAAAAGTCATTGCCGGGATTCCACTCATATGATCCGGATGCTGCCGTTCGACGTTGTGCCTGCGCCTCAAGTACAACGGCCGTACAGCATGCACCTTGAAGTGCGGCTTTCCGTTGAGATGTTTGAGACACACATGTCATCAAGCAATGATGATGACTCTCCGGCGTGAGATGTTCCATATACGTGTCTACCGGCCGCGTGACAACCGCAAAGGCCCATTCATGATTGCTATGCGACTGCTGAGCATCAATCGTGTGTTGATCAGCTCTGTTGCCTCTGCCACATAAGCAGCATCGCTGAGACCAAGCTGATGATTCATGATTGAATGACTGTCCTCCCGGATTTGTCTCCCCATCCCTCTCTCCAAACACCCTACTACCCAGCTTGCCCTCGCACCTTGATTGATATTTCTGATTGCGACGACGCGCGCGCTCTTCGTCTCAGAATGAGGGTCACCACCTATGGGTGCCTTTGGCTACGCCATAGGGTCCCGGGTGCGGGTGCCATCCTTCCGCTGATCCTGCTGGCCGCTGTGCAAGCACGCCCTCACCCTCAACAAGAGCCTTTGCCGACCTCGAGTCCGGGTGGCGACCCCGGTCCCTCGTCGAGCGTCAGCTCCAGAACTTCACCCTTGCCTTCTCCCACTTCCGCCTCCGCTTCCGCTTCTGCGTCTGCACAAGCAACAACTTTCACATCCAGCTACATAACCACCCTGAGCTCTGGTCAGCCCCGACCCACCGGTGCACCATCTACGGGATCCGTATGGGCAACCTACACGATCTACACGACTACACTGAGCCCATCTCCAACAGCCAGTACCAGCGCACCGACTCCCTCGAGCACGGCGGATGGCAACGCAGGCATGGCCGCTTCCTCGGACGATTTGCCCCTCAATACGAGGATCGACGCCGCTTTTGGCGTATTGGGGGTGGTGATGATCATCACTGGAGGTGCACTGGCTGTGCGCGCCAGTCGATCGCGATGGATACTCTACTTTGTCAGCGCGTGAGTCAGGCTCGTACAATCTTGAATGCATCATCTCGGATTCCGCGCAGATGCGATCGAGCGTTGCGAAAGCACAAAGGGGAGGGAGGACTCGATCGAGAGCAGACACGGGAGGATCATGGATGGCATGGCATGGGCAGACCAGGCACAGCCCTGCGCAGACACGGTGCCAAATGGCGTACAAGATGGGGTGGCTTGCCGCAATGCGGGGCGAGCAGTATGGGCTTCTTTGCGCAGTGAATGGGGCGGCGGCAGCGATGGTGGACAAGATGCTATGCGAAGCATGCTTGAGTGTCGTCGTGAGGACAGGCCAGGCCGATGCAGGCCGCGGACGATGCGTACACGCAGAATCAGAATCGTGAATCACGAATGTGAATGGCAAGAGCCGAGCAGGAGCAGCTTAAGATGATGCGAAGCCGCGGTCGAGAGTTGGTCGCATGCAGCAGCGATGCAGAGCGCGCGTGTGGCCGAGCCGCGAGAGGCTAAGACGACGCACCAAGCAAGCAAGCACGCACAGCCAGCAGAGGGGGAGGGCAGATCGAGAGAGAGAGGGAGGGAGAGAGAGAGAGAGAGAGAGAGAGAGAGAGAGAGAGAG